AATCGCAGGCCAGGTGCTGGATCCATGCCGAGTTTCACCATGACCTGTTTCACAGTTGAGGAAGGGCGCTGACTTGAGGTCTGCAGCTGAGTCATCCATGCAGCATAACAATTTGCAGCTCGCACTTACGACATCGCAACTACCCAACACATCGGAATGCCTGCCGCAGAGACTGGGCGATGAGGCTGACCTGAGGGCAGCTTGAGAGCTCAGAACTGCCAGAAGGCCAACCACACTTTTACTGTTTATCTGGGTTGTGTCGGGCCTGTCAAGCTGTTCATGCCTACACAGGTACAGAGCTCCAGGCTTGACTCAACAGAACCCCGATAAGACCAAAGGTCCCTGAATAGCAAATGGATTGACCTTGTGCAGCGTTCCTTCGAGCATACTCTCTGCACGCCACAACCAAGCGACCGTGGTGCCCTCGCGCTCGGAGGCAGCCACAGAATTTACGACATTCACCTGAGATTCTTGAAGTTGGATGTGACGACTTATCAAGTGTTGTCTCCATCGGAAAGGACAATCCTAGTTCCTAGTTACAAGCAATCATCCTCACCATCCTCGTCCTGATCATACGAAGAGCAGCAAAAGCAGTAAGAGCAACATCTGCATCAGCTTCAGCATATTCAGCACCATCATCAGCTCAGGTGGGAAGTGGGAACCGACACTGACTAAAAGAAGGATCATGCGCGCATGTGCGCGGACCAGGACTGGCTGGGAAACGGCTTGGAACCGGGCTGGTGCTTTGACAAGATCAGGGGAATGCCTCTAAGGCGGAGTTGAAGATCACGGGTTGAATATCCTCGGCCTTCGATTTTAAGAGCTTCCCCGATGTTTCGGGTCCAGGGTAGATTTCACTCCCACTCTTGGGGCTAACGACCGCATTGCATGTCCGATGACGAATCAGTTGACGAGCCTGTCATGCTTTGCAATACAGAGCGCCGCTGACAAGTAAAATCTGGCATCGTTGGAAGAACGTGTTTACCAGGTGTACCGTTCACATCCGCTGCCAGGACTACACACAGGCAAACATACATTAGCTCATAGGCGATGCCATGGAAACAAGCCGATGGCGATGCCCGACCAAGTCACCATAACGCCAATCAGCATGTACATCATGGTCACCTGCTGGTGCAAACGAACACAACATTTTGACTCATGGCCGCTTTACCCAGTTTCGCATGATACCAATTTTGAATGCGGGGTGCTGAGGTGATCAGGATGAAGAGCACCACAAATGGCCAGAAGACAGGGTGCCAGGCAGCGAGGGAATACACGAAGGATGCCTGAGACTCAGGCCATTCTTTTTTTCTCCTCCTGTATCTTGCTTACACCTTCCAAATTGTAGCCGAAGCAACGGTTTCGGCAAACATGCTCTTGAGCAGCAATGTGTTCCTCGCGGCAACTGCAATTGAGGACTAAAAAACAAATCATGGAGAGAAGCAGCATCAACAGAACAAAGGATCAAAAAGGCAACAATGGTATCTGCTCACGGCCATGGCACATGGACGTTGCCACTGTTGCAAAGTCTGCCATTAGTGACGCATCGGCTGGCGGCGACTGCACCTCCGCTGGTTCTATGGGCTTTCATACCAACATGTAGACTTGGGCTTTGCAGGGCATTGATCTAAAGGCGAGAAGCCATGTCCGTGATCTGTTTCATCAGAAGGGCGAAGACATAGAGGACCATGACACAGAAGGCAGCAATCACCTTACGATGCATTGGATGATCTGTCTCCCTGACACCGTGCCCACTAATGCCAACAGCAATGGCAAATTGCACTTACTCCCTCCAACCAAAAAACCAAGATGAGCTCCAATGTGGCCTGCCTGTGCAAGCCACATTCCTCCCACAATCTGTGAAATCGCCGGGGAATCGCTTTGCTGGTGGCACTGCTAACGCGGCTCAGCAGCCAGAAGGGAGCGGCCGGCTGCACCGATTGCCTTTGCCACCTAAGTCATGTCTGAGCTCATCTAAGTCCTCCAAAGTCCCTCACCTTCGGATGCGAATATGCACAAACTATGACCCAAGATGACCCAGGGAGCGGCAACGCGAGCTGTTGGGACAAATGTTCATATCATGCCGCAGGGCCGCGATTCCCAGCTCTGGGATAGAGCGCAAGAGCTTGGCCATACGTGTGAGGCGGAGGATCTTGACCATGCCTCACTGTGTGTCATGGCATTTCATGTAGATTGATGACGATAATAACAGGTAACACATGTCAATGGACAATCGGCGGTTGTAATTGTCATCATCGTGGTGGTAGTACCGGTACTAGTACTCGTACTAGTACTGGTACTAGTACGAATAGTAGTAGTAGTAGTAGTAGTAGCAGCAGCAGCAGCAGCAAATGAACCAAAAAATCTAAGGGCTGAGACCACGACAAAAAAACAACACGTCAGCTGCTCAGTTTAGCGGTACAAGTAGGTGCTCAGAGCGGTGCGTCTGCAGTCTAGCGGAGCCTAGCGGAGCCAAGCTCAAACTTGCCCCACTGGAAGTAGGGGAAACGAACAGGCTAAGGGTCTGGAGCGTTCCTTCTCTGGCAGAGCTTTGAGACAGAAACTGGCTCACGCCAGCCTTCAAAAGCAGAGCAACATACCAACATTCGTATACTTTCACAACCTGCATCCGGAGAGCGGATGATGCGAAGCACGTTGGCACTGAACAGCGCATCCTTGACTTGAGGCATGGAATTTGACAGCCTGCTGCAACCTAGGCCTCGCCAATAAAAACTGTTGAGGCGCGATCAGCTCCATGTGAGTACTTGCTTGACTTCCCTGCCTAAGCTTAAGGGAAATGGATCAGTAGTTTTCACATTCCAAGGGGCCAGGGAGGAGGTGGGTTTCCGGGTGGACTTGACCCCAGCTGCATGTCGGCTGGCAGCCAGAAGAAAGCCAGACATCTCGGGTGCTATCATGTGCTATCCCAGCAACAGTTTCTCGGAAGCCGCTGACGATAAGCGCCAGGGACAGGATCCACCTTGTACGGGCTCGTAGGCAAAGGCAACATGAATGGCTTGGCGCTAGATCACAGTATTGCGACTTGTGATGCTGCAAATATTCCATTTGAATCTTGCACACTGGAAAATTGTCCAAAAGGTTGAAGATCATCGAAAAAGTCACCAGCACTTCAGCAGTTGGGTTCAAGGACCAGCGGGCGACAGCAGCTTTATCCCTGCTGCAAAATCCTGGGCTGCGATTGCTGGCAACATGTCTTGCTTCAGGCTGAGCGTCGTTTCAGCAATCATGTATAGGCTCAGTGAGAGGTCAAAGACAAACCAGAAGTCTCGAAGGCAGTCGCACTTGTATTCCTTGTCGGCAACAGGGCTCAAGTTTGGAAATTCTTAACATTGCGTGACTGGGAGCCGAAGCAGATGTCTTGTGGCATTGAATCCCTTTACTTTGTTTGCTGTGCAACCACAGCCCGCTCACTAACTGCAACAGCTTTATGCTGTGCACAAATGTCTTGGCCAGGCCACAAACGCCAGGAAGCGGATTACGATCTCGGCAAAGAAGTACGAGCAGAAGATGTGCTCAGCCACCTATGCAGCAGCGGGGTGCTAGTGGAGTGAAGTGTGTGCGATGCTCCTCTTCCAAACATCGTTGTCGCTGCGTCTAGCTCTGCACCGACTGAGTAGCAGTTGCATGGCAACCTTGTAAGTCTTTGGATGAGGCAGTGCAGGATCCAGTTCAGCTAGTCTTCACTCAAAATCTTGTGTCGGCCCCAGAGTGCTTGCATGCAGTTGTTACTCTGATGCACGATGATCAACGTGAATCTTGCGTGAAACGCACACAGCAAAAGAATGCATGTGTGGTCATGCTCCAAAGCTCCTCCTCTCGCCTGGAAAACGGGGGGAGCATCAATCAGGACTGCAGCAGGGTTATTGTCTGTGTCGATGGCCATCCACAGGCAGTTCAGGATGATGACTACCTGATCCACCGTGAACTACATGGTTGGCAGGGGTACACTCCTGAAGGCAATGCATAAGACATACTGGGCACAGCCACGTATCCCTTAACACCAACAGAAACCTGGCTTCGGCACGTACTTTGGGAGCAAGGAAGTGATCAACATGTGCAGTTAAAAAACCGGGTGAAGTAGACCAGGTGAAGAGCACATAGATCTAGCCAGCTCCATCCAAGCTGAAGTATTCGCGAGCAAGAACTGCGAGAGGACTCTTGTGGAGGCTACAGTATTGCAAGTGGCCTTCATTCAGCTGCCAGAATTGCTACAGCAAGGCTGCTAGTGTCCCTGTACACCAAGTCGTAATTCATGATCAAGCGTTTGCTTGAATGCTGCTTATGCCTTCGATGGTACAAGGCCGGAAGTGTCGCGCAAACAAAACATTCTTTATCAAGCTTCTTGCCCCACGCTCATTCAAGTTCAAACAGTGGGTTCGATCGAATGCAGCAGTAAATGCTGCAGTGAACTTCTCTTCTGCGCATACCAGTCTGTATCCCTTCTCCTTATGCCCACGGTGTATAGACAGGCCGCCAACGTGCAGTTTTCGAAAGCAGGATGTCTTGCGATCAGCTGAGCGCACCTGCTAGCTGAGAATTGTTAGCTGGCAAAGTTGATGAACCGCTGAGAAACAAGCCTTTTGAAACAGCTTGGCTTACCCTCCTTTACTTCTTGCTCTGTAAACGCCTGGAAACAGGAAACAAGCCTGCGCTGCCCCTGCAGTGAATCCTCCCCATATCACCCAAAATCATAACAGCAACGCAAATCATAGACTGGACTGATCAAGGTTACGGAAAGGGCTGATGCACTGGAAAGCAGGATGAGCATCCAAGCACCTGAAATCTTCATGAATTTTCAACACTCTTCAAGTCATGACACTGCCTTAAGTCGCACCGGATGTGCGTTCCCTCGGATTCTGTGACAACATTATAACATAATGCCGAAAATCAAGGCCTCAAACCAAAAAACTAGTTCCGTTCTGCTGATGTAAGGGTTCGTCCATGATGGCCCCGTCGTCCCAAAACTGCAGTTCCTCCATTCATCTAAGGCCGAGCGTCCCTTCCGTGCGGTAGTAGTCCTCGTCGCAGGTTGACACGCCGAAGCTCGGGTTTTGTGAGTTGAGGAGTCAACTGTGCATGTAATTTCTGGAGGTCCAGCAAGCAAGGGGTTCAAACGAGGTGTAAGCAACATTCCCTGCAAGTGGATAGAGAGCAAAGTAACCCTACGCAAGGTGACAATGTTCTTTCTCTGCCAAGCAGCATGGACATTGTAGGGAACCTTCACCAGAGCCTGCCGAAGGTTCTTCCTTGGTACTGGCATGGCATACAGGATTCGGACTTAGCCAATGTGAACCTTTGAGGACCTCAGGAATTCACTGGCAGTGGATGCTGGCCGTTGTGGTTGCAAGCTGTTCGAAATCAAACCCCTTCCCACTTAAGAGACCGTTCAGGTAACTCGAATGCTCTGCAAAGGAAAGGCCACAGACTGCTGCATGCACTTTGCATCAGGGATTCTTCATCTCAGACTCGTCCGCGAAGACAGGCATGCCTGGTGCTTTGCCAGGGCTCAGGATTCATTACCTTGCTCCAGCATCTTGCCAGCTCGAACATGTGAGCTGAGGTGCACCGAACGCCAAACAAGAGCAAGGGCGTTGTATCCGGCTTCTTCATCCGGTGCAGTCACTTGCATCAACTCAAATTATGGGTCTACTACACATACAATACAACAGTCATCGTTGAAACTAAGGGCACACTTCACGCGCCTGTTTTGGCTTTTCCTGTCCGTAGCTCTTTGGCCTTGCAATCGCAACGATCAGAAGCTGCAGGTGCATTCAGACGTCGCTGAATCCCAAATGGTGAGTGCGAAGTGGTCAGGCAGGTAGTAAGGCTGTTAATGCTGCGCAGCCAACTTGACATGCAGCGCATAACAAGGCTTTACTCGGCCGGAATGTATTTTCCAAGTACTCATCACGAACACTTATCAGAAAAAAGCATAGTGAATGACCTTCCCGGTCTACCTCCGAGAGTGTCCCAGCAAACTTTTCCTTACTCACTTGCTGGATCCACATGCCACCATGCAGCGATTGAAAATACAATTGACTTTGTGAAACTGTCCCTCTAAGCAACTGCGATTCAAAGACTTGTTTCACAGGACTGCTTGCAATCTGACTACAGAAAACACACCCAATAGCACGCAGAACTGCCCAGGCTACTGAGCCTGTGCCAAAGAAAGCCGCGAAGCACGCGCATGGTGGCGTGTGGCACGGGCCCGCTTCTTCCTCGCGCAAAGCACAGAAGCTGTTTGAACATGCTTTCTCTCCCGCAGTACTGTACATGGATTCTAAGCCTGGTACAGACCGAGTTCAAAATCTTCACCAGCATGCTGATCCCTAAAGCACCCCAAATCAGATCGTGTCTGCACCAATGCAAGCTAATCACAGCACAAGACATCGTGGAAATTGATCCCTGACACCTGCCTGGCCAGCACTTCAGTTGCTTGGATCTCTGCTTCGGCGACCTGCGGGTCCATGTGCCCGGCAGCGGACAACATGTAAACTGCTTCCTCACATCCCACCGGCCTGCACAACTTCGCTCTGCACCTGTCTTCAAGCGCAGCAACGATTGAAGCATCCGCAAAATCTTTCACATTGGAAGCTGCCCTGTTTATGCTTGAAAGAGGTGGTCCCGAACTCTAGGAAATTCTGAAGGCTTTTGAAGAGAAGCATTGTGCTGTTGAACTGGCCTTTTTGCTTATTCAGTACTGTTGCGTGGGCCGTGGCAGCTACGGAGAACCCATGTGTAGCTGGGAAATGCATTGCATCACAACTTGCATGAACGCAACTTCAATCAATACCTCTGCTCATAATCCCGACAGTCAACTCGTCCAGAAGCCTCCGCATCGCAGCAAGGAGCCCTGCGTATGGTCTCCTGGATGGAACAGAAGCAAACGCCACCAGCCACCATCGTACTCGCTGCCAGAGTTGCTGCTAAAGTTGCTGCCTCCTCTGCTACTACGTCATGATTACGACGTCTGTGTCGCATGCTGTCTGCAATGCGAGAACGCAAGCATGCAAGAGAGTTCAGGCAACCAAATGGTCCTGGCTGCTTTGAATATGTTAATAAGCCCTGCACCCAAGGCAAAGGTACGTCCGCACTGCGAACGGCATACCAAATCGCATAGGATGGAGTTGATGCTTATCCTATTCCATCTGAACGGACGAAAACAACAGCCCCCAAACCCATTACTGCCTTGCAGACGCTACACAAAATCTCTCACATCCCAAGCCCTACGTCCCTACATACGAGACCTTTCTGTTTCGAATGACTGGACCTGGTCAGTTGTGCGGCGCTTCGCCTCTTCAGCAAAGGCCTGGAACGGGGGAACAAGCTCTGTAAGCGCTGCGAATAAGGCTTCAGCAGGATCTACGTTGGCGGAGCTGCTTGCAAGTGGAATGCTCCTCAGCAACAACCTGGGTCACCCTGGGTCCTTGCTGCTGGCTGTAAGAACAAGTATAGGAAGCTGCATGGCCTTACAGGACTGAGGTTGTCCCCTGACATGCCCTAAATCGTTTGGGATACAGGCGGCCTCGAGCTTGGCGGTGAGATTGGAAAGCTGGCTGTCAACCTCAGTGCGCGCGCTCTAGGCAGACAGGCTGCTCTAACCACAAACAAAAGCATCAAACCCCCGGCCTTCGCCGCCAGTTCCGCCGCCACTTTTACCATCTCCGAGTCCTCTGCCAAAAGCCGAAATTGCACCAAAAACAGAAGGCTTCTGTTTCACTTGGCAGGATTTATTTATTTATTATAAGGCAGGCGTTCCAGAATGCAGATCGCTTTTTTTGGGGCACATAGTGGAGAGCGGCGCGATGGCGTCAGAAAAGTGAACGGCTCAACAACGGCTCTGGTTGACTCCCTTCGAAATCCGGACTTCTGCCAAACAGCTATGCAAACATGCACAAGCTTGCGCCTACTGAAGGCGCTTGTTATCAGGAGTTGCACAAGCTGCGCTAAGTTCTAGAACTGCAACAACAACATTGGCTGACCTATTACAAGCCTTCAGACTCTCGGCCCCGTTGCAGGCCTGCTCAGACGGTGCAGACCCAGCAAGCTGCAAACCACCTTCGGGGCTCGTTGATGCAAGTGGAACTCATACCGGCTACGAGTAAGTTAAACTATGCAGCTTTAGCGCGCTGCACATCAGAGGGGCGCGGCTTTTCCGATTATACGTTTGCAGCATCTCATGGGCGCAGCAAAACCCAGCCCAGGAACTGTTTGGCAATGAGCAAGCTGTCTTGTTTAGCTATGGAACATCCAAGCCGCACACCCACACGAAACCCCACACATTTTTGCTTCAGGGGTCGAGAGATACCAAGGATCAAGGGTTCATGTGAGCAGCGGTCAAAATTTCTTGTCTGGCGCATGGTCAATGGTCCAGTACTCGTTCTGCAATCTCGTTCCTTCTCGCTTTACATAATCCGGAGCATGTTGGGGAGACCAATTCGTTCTGCTAGGCTTGAGTTTGCCAACAGTTTTACATGACTCATATGAAGGATTGATTTCTTTCCTGGTACTCAATTCCAAGAAACGTCATTCATGCAAATACTACAAACCCTGTGTACCTCTTGTAATCCCCATATAGATCTCCCATCAACGCCTCCCACAACCCTAAATTTTATAAGCCTTGCATAACCCCGCTCATTTCTGACCCCCATAGATTCCAAATCAGTTGCCTTCAAACTACCAAGAACAGAACAGGATTACAGACCCAGTTTTTCATCACGATGATGGTAAGGTATGTTAATATTTGTGTTTTAGTGTTCGCGGATGTATATGAGCATACTATAGCATACTACTTTGTCCTTAACAGAATTCAAATCCTGACAAAAAAGTCTTTTATAATCTTGTTTTGGACTCGTTCTCAACCCTGGTGACACATGTCGTTCTTGGACCAACCGACCTGATGCCCGAGGGTGCTTGACTGACAGGTTTGCCATGCATGCACCAACTGACAAAGGCTACTTTTTGTCGTTTAACTGCACTGCAGTTCGGCCTTGAATCTGGTTGCCCAACATATTGACATTGAAACACGAAAATGATGATCTTCATGTTTGGGGTGGACCATCTCGTTTTACAGACTAGACGCATGATTTCCATGACTTCGGACCGATGTTTGACATGCTTGAAGGGACGGAACTCTTGTAGAAATCCAAAATGTACACCCTCCAAGCAGGCCATAAATTGAATTCATTGATTAGCCAAGAGGCTGAAATCGACAAGCACCGGCTGCTGTTTCGTGTGCTTCCACAGCAACGAGTCAACCTTTCAGTACTACAACACAAGTCACCTTCCAGAAAAATTGGAAACGCATTGCATCCCATTCTAGAGTGCCATGTTTCTGTGCAGTCTCTACCCTCAGAAGCCCACATTAGTATCCCCTGTTAGGACTCTGCCAAAGTGTTGCAATATCCACTGACGCTGCCAAAACCAGCTTCACATCCGAAAGTGCCGACATGTGTGAAGGCCGACGGCCTTCTGCTCCAACACACTCTGCAAGTCGTGGCTTGCCTGCTGCAGGGTTTCAACACACAGCAGGCTGCCAATCTTTCTCAGCATATTATCATCTTCCGTAGCATCCGAATGATCAACTGATGTCCAAAGATTCAAGGGCACTCACTCTTGCCTCTCAACAGCCTGCACTGCTTCGGCAGACCCACACCACTTTGGTCACTTCTCTGCAGTGGAACCCAGACATCTGAACAGAACATTCATGGCCCTTTTTCAAGCACCATTCTTGAGGACGCAAAGAGTTGGCATGCACGTAATAGGAAAAGTCAGAGCGAAATAAGATGGAAGCGGAGAGGCACGGACGAAGACAAGGATGAAGTGTCTGTGATGCCAAAGCCGAGCACAATCATGACATTGACGATGGAGAGAGCGATGCATACGAATGTGGTGATCATGACGAGGAAGTGGAGGACGCTGATGACATCTTGGCCAGCACGTTGACGACCTTGATGATATTCATGAAGGAATGGGCGTATGTAGTCAAAATCTACGGTAAGTGCCGATAAAGCGCAAATGACCGCACAGGGCCTTTCCGATGTTGAGATTCCAACGGCGAGACCAACTAGGTCCAAGGTATATTTTTCGCCGTGGTACCAAAGGCAGGATGAGGCTTCGTTCGGTTGCTGTCGACAAGGGTTTCGTGTGGTTTTTTGAGGATGTTCCAGGAACTGCTAAATTTGCAGAATTTTTGGGCGCGGAAAAACCTGGTTCGCACTGTAATTTACCACACGACGTCTAGTTTTTTGGGACGCGGCTACCTACTTCGAAATCTCGAAATCTAGGGAGTAGCGCGTGAATTCCCACACGAACAGCATAGTCGTTGCTAGACTGCCCTTTCTCTCGCCAACACCCTTTCACCCTTGAGGGCCACCAGGAACTCCTTTGGACATATACAGCTTTTGCTTTGCTGTTGGGCTCAGGCAGCTCTCATTATCAATGCCGGTTTTCGCATTGGTACGAGGCGGTAAAAGAAATTTCAGTGACTGCCAAAATCTGTGGAGAACTTGCGTCCCTGCAACTGCCGACAAGGCGATACTGCACGGATGTACTGACTGCACAAAAGTTTGCACCTGGTGCGTCACATCATGGTGCTTCTGCTTCCGCTGAACGCATGCCCGCGCCCAGTTGACGTTCCCATCACTGTACACTGCAGAGCTTCGATTCTCGACTTTCTTGAAGAAGCCGCTGTCTTCAATCTGCCGTCGAGTTTCAGTGACCGGCTGTGAGCCAGCTGGCATGACGACGGGTCTGGGCACCCATTCTTCAGCGCCTAGCAACATGATGTAAACTACATGAAGCTAGACTCGCTTGCCAGGATTCTTCTGCCCGTGCTTCCAAATTTGGTCAGCGTAGTGTTTGTTGGTGCGCTTGATTCGGAAATATGTGGAACATCTTGAGGAACGTCCCGTCCACTTCCACAGAACCTGCTAGGCTTTTTGCAAAAAAGGAGCCCGTCAGTCTACAAGGACCTGCAGAGGGCTTATGGGGAGAAAGGTATAAGAACACACTGGCATGGCAGCAGAAGTCATTCAAACCTCTTGCCTGCACCTGAAGTCTTTGGCGACAGCCGGGCCTGAGGATACTCTGTGCTTGACTCTCTCTTCCACAGGGCTTACTAACAAGCTGGCAAGGTATCCCATTCTCCTCTAGAACTTGCAAGGAAATCATGCCCTTGCTACCAAGAGCTTCAGGCAGGACGGATGATTTCAAGATGCGCCATTTTTCACGCAAAAACTGTTCAATTAGAAGAAGCTACCGCCAACTGGATCCCGCGAGCATCGTAGTTGACAAGACCTGGATGGTCGCGGTGGGGCGGCTCTCGAGGCTCTAGCTTGGCAGCTGCACCCCAGCACACCAATCTAGAGTTTGTGAACACATGGAGGCTCTTTGGGGACTTGTTCGTAAGCACATGGAGGCCCTTCGAGGATAAACATATAAGAGCGCAGTGGCTTGGCCGCAGCAGAAGCAAGGGCATCTGCATGCATCTACCATTATCCCCCCCAAGATCCCCAAACCAATGTAGAACTCGTGCGCATGTGGAGGCCCTCTGGGGAGTTAGACACATCAACCCAAGGCAGCAGCGGAAGCAAGAGCGGCTGCATCCGTCTACTATTATCCCCCCCCACTGCCCCCGAACAATGTAAAGTTGACCTATGTAGGCTTCGTAACATGGCGGAATTTACACCATAGGCCAACTAATTACACCGAAGATGTTAGATGTAGATAGATGTAGACATTCACGATACGCGCCAGCGCCTGCAAACGATGCACAGAAGATGAGATGGATTCTGATGAAGATGATTCCATAAACGCTGAGAGAGATGGCAAGGGACATGTGGAGTTGCCACAACGACAAAATTGTAGAGATCAAAAAACGAGGGTGGCGGTGTGTATGATAACGAAAGCAAGGGCATGAATGCCCTTAGACTATGATGACAATGACATGGCGGGTTAATGGATATTCTACATGCAAAAAACTTTGTGAGAAGGTGGTATATATTGGTAAATACTACATGACAACGAAGACATCTGCTGTGCTGTAAGCGACAGTTGACGGATCGTGCTGATACTCAGGCAAGGAGACACGTTCATAGTTGTTCATGCTTGCATTCTGCTGCGGGGCGGTGTAGGAAGTGCATGAAGACAGGTGATAATAGCCCCGTGGAAGATCGAGATTGATGGAATGCGCCATGATAAACTATGAGAACAAATAAACTATGAAAACAAGAAGGCAATGTAGAAGGAAAACTATTGCAAATTGTCCTGATGCGCTTGCTTGTGCTGATGCGTCAAGTGGCAGTTCATGACAGTTCCATGAAGCCCGTGCAAGATGAGAAGGACAGGAAGTCGGTTGTTCATCGGATGATGATCAGAACTCTCTCATGGTGATGATGAGCCGTCGGGTCAGGAATTGGGCTCCAGCGGCTCCAAGATCCCAGCAGTCCCGGGGGTCCCTTGCGCTGGGCTTCCTCATGCCATGCTTTCCAGGCCTGCAAGACTTGCTGGAGGTCGTTGGCCGTGCAAGTAGATCCTGAACAACTGCTTACATCTACTTACTGCTCGACGACCAAAACGTCACGCAGGGTGTCAAGACAAGACTTCGTGGCCCTGAGCTCAATGTAGCTTGGAGGTAAGCTTGGGATAGCTTGGGGGCAACGAAGTAGCCTCCTGCCTCCGCCTGAGGTGGCACAAGGGCACTTGCCTAACTATGAAGTTGCTGACACGCTGTTGCGAGGAGATTGTCACCCACCCACACCACCTCGCCAGAAATCACAAGAGAAGCAAAATGGGAGACAACGGGCGACAAGTATCGGCAAACATCCCAGCCCAAATCAAACGAATCAAGGGAAGACAAGACTCAGAAACCCCGACAGGCCCTGCAAGCACCATCAAAACCGTCGAGAATCAGATTGAAATTGAAGTGCAAAACTGCTTGGGGGAATGAACTGACACGGAACTCCAGATCAGATTGCAACATCTTGATTGGCAAACCGAAAGCTTGCCGCCCTGCCCTCACAAAACCAGGCATTAAGGTGAGGCTCCATCCACGATCTGCGAGTGGGTGCTGCGCAGCTGCGAGAGGATGTCCTTTTCAGATTTCAGGCGCGTCGCTTGAAACTTCGCTTATTCTTCGTAGTATTCCCTACATGTCTGCAACATCACTCATCCATGACCAAGCAATCGGCACTTGATGAGCGGGGACCCATTGATCGGACAAAGCGAAGAAGAGCCCTTCGGCAATTGTGCGGATGCGTGCAGTGCCAGACAATCATGCAAAATATGATGTGCTATGGCCTGCTATAGCTGGAAACTTGAAAGCACAAAATCAAGATTGAGGCAAGCTCCCTTGCACGACTTACTACCGGCCTGCGTGTGCGCCGCTTCGTCCGCAGAGAGCTTCTCACTGATTTTGGTAGCTCGCCTGGTTGCTTACTGCGGTGAGAGGGCACCCGAACATGGGAAGCAGGGCGGTAAAGCGGTCGCTTGGCACATTTTTTTTGGCCGCATGGCACACGAAAAGCTGTCTTGGGATCCACATGTAGGCCGTGCCGGGACTAAACCCTAAACATGCTACACCCTAAACACCCTGACCCCAAAACACACCAAACGGTAAACATCCTAAACCCGAAACACCCTAAACACTAAAAACACCCTAAACCCTAAACACCCTAAATAACCGTAAACATACTACACACGAAACACCCAAAACCCTAAACACACTAAACCCTAAGCACCCAAAACCCTAAACAGTCCAAACACACTACACCCTAAACACCCTAATCCCAAAGCACCTTAAACCCTAAACACCCTAAACACCCCAAACACCTTAAACCCAACAACACCCCAAACCCTAAACACCCTAAACATCTTAAACATCCTAAACATCCTAAACCCTAAACATCCTAAACCCAAACCCCTAAACCCAAAACGACCTAAACCGTCAACATACTAAACCTGAAACACCCAAAACCCTAAACGCCCTAAACCCGAAAATGCTCTAAACCCTAAACATCTTAAACCCAAATCCTAAACTCAAAACGACCTAAACCGTAGACATACTAAACCCGAAAAAACTCAAAGCCAAATGCCCAAAACCCAAACCGTTAACATCCTAAACCCGAAACACCCTAAACACTAAAGACCCTAAACCCTAAACACCTCAAACCCAAAACACCCTAAACCCTAAACACCGCAAACCGTAAACATACTAAACCTGAAACACCCAAAACCCTACACGCCCTAAACCCTAAACACACTAAACCCTAAGCACCCAAAACCCTAAACAGTCCAAACACACTACACCCTAAACACCCTAATCCCAAAACACCTTAAACCCTAAACATCCTAAACATACTAAACCCTAAACACGCTAAACATCCCAAACCCGGACAAAAAGAATGCAAAATACTCTAAACCCAAAGCACCCTAAACCCCAAACACCCTAAACCCTAAACACCCTAAACGTCCCAAAACCTGGACATACTAAACCCAAAACACCTTGAACCCTAGATACCCCAAACACCCTAAACCTAAACACCCTACACCCAAATACCCCAAACCCTAAACACACTAAACACCGAATCCCTAAACACACTAAACCCTAAACACTCCAACCACTAAACACGCTAAACCCTAAACACCCTAAACCCTGAACACCCTAAATGCCCTAAAGCCCAAACATCCTAAACCAAAAAACACACTGAACGCTAAACACCCTAAACATCCTCAAACCTAAATGGCCCAAACAATAAACGCTAAACGCCCTAAACCCTAAACACACTAAACCCTAAGCACCCAAAACCCTAAACAGTCCAAACACACTACACCCTAAACACCCTAATCCCAAAACACCTTAAACCCTAAACATCCTAAACATACTAAACCCTAAACACGCTAAACATCCCAAACCCGGACAAAAAGAATGCAAAATACTCTAAACCCAAAGCACCCTAAACCCCAAACACCCTAAACCCTAAACACTCTAAACGTCCCAAAACCTGGACATACTAAACCCAAAACACCTTGAACCTACACCCAAATACCCTAAACCCTAAACACAATAAGCACCCTAAACCCTGAACACACTAAACCCTAAACACTCCAACCACTAAACATGCTAAACCCTAAACACCCTAAACCCTGAACACCGTAAATGCCCTAAAACCAAAACGTACTGAATCAAAAAAGACACTGAACTGTAAACACCCTAAATATCCTCAACCCTGAATGCCCTAAACCCTAAACACCTTGATTCCCAAAAAATCCCTAAGTCCCAAACACCCTAAACCCGACAAAAACCTCAAATCCTCAAAACCCTGAACCCAAAACATACTAAACCCTAACACCCAAAACCCCAAGACACTCGAAACACTCTACACCCTAAACACCCTAAGCCCGCCCTACACCCTAAACACCCTAAACACCAAAAACCCGAAACATACTAAACCCAAAAACGCTAAACCCTAAACCCCGTAAACCCTAAACATCCTAAACCCTAAGCACCCTAAACGCCCGAAACACCCTGAACCCTAAGCACCCTGAACCCTAAACACCCTAAACCCTGAACACCTTAAACCGTAAACGCCATAGACACTAAACACCCTAACCCCAACACACCCTAAACGCCCCTAAACCCTAATCGCCAAATGATGGGGCGGGCGTAAGGTATATGATGAACTCAGCCCTAAGTCCTGAACCCTGAATTGGCCAAGTGACCCGCAAAAACAGTTGCTAAGTGACCCGAAACTGTGCGGGATCCGAATTGGCTGAGTGACATAATTGGCTAAGTGACCCCGAAACTAGCCAGGCGCTTGCAAAGGACCACCAACGAGCTTAAACAAATTCATACAAATTCTCTGCAGCGCTCTGTGTACAATGTCCGGCCTCTGCTGAGTCTCCACCTCTTCCAGCTTGGTCTCTGCAGAGGTGAACCGTGACTGAGCAAGGCATGCTTGGGAAGGCAATGCATTTAATATCGGAAGGCTGCTCGAAAGAACCACAGTTCTGGAAGCACTTGTGCAGAGGCTCATGACAGGAAAGGAATCTGACGAATAGCTTCAGCTCTAAAAACAACAGTCATGATGCCAGCATGAGTATGAGTGTCATTCGCCTGATTCTTATGCTACAGCAACGGACGTTCCGTCAACATCCGTTAACCTCTTTGTTGCTAGGAGTTATTCCCCCTGACAGGCCGTGCAAATCCGTGCAATTGGCACCTAGCTCAGAACATGCCCTGCAAGCTCCTCAACCTCTGCAATTTGACCACTCCGCACTGGCTGCATCTGACTGCGGCATGAAGACAGAAAGGTTGCCCTCCAAGCGGTTCGCGGTGTCAGCGTACGACCTTCATGATAGATTGAGCTCAAGCCCCAGTAGACTCAGCGTTCATGGTAGGAGGTTGAACGCAATCACATCACCAAATTGCACGCGGCAACAGGGAAATCCAACACACTGGTCACAGGTTGTTGATCTTCGTCTTGAAATGGTAAGTGTATCAGCGGTAATCATGCAGCGTCTATGTTGGTTTTTAGCCAAAGGGCTCAAGGTAAGGAATGACTTCAGCTTTGACGATGCGCTTCAGAGGATCGTCCAACCTCGGTTTCTGGGCGAAAGCGATCACAAACCAGTAGCCTCAAGAAGGAGCATCTTTCTGTCTGTGGATTCCCATTTGCTGCCAACCAACCTGGAGGGTAGCCGATCCAAGGCTGCGGTAAGCGCCGAGACTGGCTGCACCACGTCGTGTCTGCAAACAACGCGCAGCATGCTAAGGCTGCCAAGTGAGGGCTTCGAGGATCTCTAAGGTCTAGAGCCGTCAGATAGTGTTGGCTCATTTGCAGGAGAATAAAGCGGCTAGGTGACTGTTAATATTAACTACGCAGCTCCGAGACTCAAACCACCTCCAACTTAGAATCCTGATGCTGTATGCCTGATGCTGCTTCCAGATTCCTGTCCATGTTGGGAACGTGATGGTAGATAATGGTAGCAACTCCAAAGCCTCATCCTGGCCACCCCTGAATTAGGAGAGGTCCATGGATTGGCATGCTGTGATACAAAACCAAAAAAAGCAAAGCGTCTCAAACCCATGCGCCTGATTTGTGCCCGCTCCAGCTCGAACTCCCTCCGCACAGAGCCGCAGAGCTCTGCACCTGATGGCGAAACTGTGAACGATACCGCGGCCTCTTGCGGCAATGACAGCGCAGGAGATGTCATCCCTTCCCCATCATGTCTCGCACGGAAGCAGACACAGAAACTCTGGAAACCACAACCTTTAACAGCTTCTGGCAAGACACACAGGGTGCGGGCATTCTTGGTAAAGGCTTGATCACATACCCACAGCAAGTCCTGTGAATGGAGGAAAGGAGAATCGTACACAATCTCCACCACTGCATCAACACTAGCCACTTGCCCGGCACAGCTATACATACTACGGATGCCACTCTTGCGACCGCGACCACCACCACCACCACCACCACCACCACCACCAAGAGCACCACCAAGTTAGGATGGCACCGGATACAGCCTTTAACAGGCGCAGAAGCTGTAGCCACCGCTGCAGCATAGCGCAGGCTTGAAGTTGCAGTTGCACTTGCACATGAAATTATTATCATCACATATCATCACCACGCGGAGTCATGACCACGAGCTGCACTGAACGACATCATCGTGACTTAGTTACTGAGACGTGCAACTGGACAGGTCGAGCAGGCAGGGTCCTTGATCGACATGTTGTCGACCACACCCCAACGCTTCTCCCCGCCTGGCCACTCGTCCAGATTTTAATGGAACTAATCAAAAACAATCCCAGCACTCCTGCAGCCTTCTGGGAAATCGTGTTGCGGCTCAGACATGTGCGATTTTGAGGTGGCACTCACCCGCCAGGCCGAAAAATCCGCACTAAACACACACGCACACACACACACAATCCAATGTGCCCTAATTATTTGCACGCCGCATCTTCAACAGGAAAACTCAAAACCTGACACGTACTTCCATACCGAATGAGGGGGTCGGTTTCTGCTGACTCGGTATTCTGAGACGAGCTTGCATGAGTGCCTCACGTCCCCCGCAGCCGCACAAACCGACAAGCTCTACAGCCAAAGCCACAAGTTCAAACGAACCCACTTGCCCTGACATTTCTGCAAACCCACGCGGAAGAACCACGAACCCAGGGCCTGCGAAGCCTAGAACTGCCTTTGCAGGCCCTGGACTTTTTGGTTCTTCCGGTTGGGTTAACATAATGGACATATTACGACCGAGTAATTGAGACTTTGGCTAAACCCAGCCAGAACATGACCAAAACATAGTGTCTTGTGTACATGTACTACCCGATGTGGTGGGGTGGGGGGTGAACTGCATGCTTGTAATGGGAACAAAAGGTGCACTTTCAAAGGGACTCGGAATGCGGCACTAGTTGTCTTCATTGTGTCCATGCTGCAACATGGTGGTATGTGTTGGTGGGTTTCCGTTGCTGCACTGCCCCCTCTACCAGTACGGTGAAGGACGCATGGACTCTCGCATCACGGGGGAGCTCAAGAGGCAACTGCATGCTAAGAAGTGACAGGAGAAGCAACTCATGCCCTGATCGTTCACATGTTGCGGAGGCTCATGAAGGCTCGAAACCTGCCTGGAGCAGCAGGGAATTTCTTATGGGGGGCTTACTAGTGGCATTCTGATTGTTCTTACATTTACGAACAAGCAGCCAAACAGCATCCATTTCTGGGACGACACCGACTCTTACAAAATGAGCCTGCGAGATTCCAAGAACAGGTTGGAAACCGATTCGCGCACCAAAAACGCAGATTCGCGACCAAAAGGGCGGATTCGCGCACTACGCGAAACAGGGGATTCGCGCACTACGCCGGGTGGATTCGCGCACCAAGGATTCGCGCACCAAAGAAACGCTGCTTCGCACACCAAGTGGACAGAGTCGCGCACCAAAGCAGCTGCTTGGCGCACCAACACTACGAGACTCGCGCCCACCCTAAGCCCTAAACCAACCCCGAACCCTAAAGCCTAAATCCTAAGAAAGCCCTGAGCCCTGAACCAACCCTGAACCCCAAACCCTGAAGCCTAAGCCCTAAGAAAGCCCTAAGCCCAAAACCAACCCTGAACCCCTAACCTTGAACCCTAAAACCCAAACCCTAAAGCCTAAGACCCAAACCAAACCTTAACCCCGAACCCTGAAGCCTGTCCCTAAACACTGAACCCTGAACCCTAAGCCCCAAGCCCTAAACCAGCCCTGAACCCTAAACCCTAACCAACCCTGAAATCTCAGCCCTAAACCCTGAACCCTAAGCCCTAGGCCCTGAACCAGCCCTGAACCCTAAACCCTGAACCCGGAAACCCTGCCAACCCTGAACCCTAAACCCTGAACCCAAAATCCTAAACCCTACGCCCTAAACCAACCCTGAACCCAAAACCCTTAAACCCTAAGCCCTAAGCCCAAAACCAACCCTGAACCCTAAACCCCAAGCCCTGAAGCCTCTTTTGGCTTGGTGCAAAAGTCAGATCCTTCTGGTGCTGGAGTGGGCAGCTTTTGGTGCTTGAATCGGCTCCTTTTGGCGCATAAATCGGCCTCTTTGGGATCTTGAATCGGGTCGTTTTGGTGCGTGACTCGGTCTTGCGTAGTGGGTGAATCGTTGGTGCGTGAATCGGATAGTTCCTGAATCGTTAGTGCTTGAATCGTGGTGTGTGAATCGGGGTTGGTGCGTGAATCGTGCTTTTTCGTGCAAGAATAGGCCGGGCAAAGGGTGATTCCCCCACAGGAAGGTCCATCCTGAGGAGGGGGTACTACACATGTATACAATATAAGCACATATGCACGAACATGTAAGCTGCAAATGTGCAAAACGCTATATTCGCTAAATGAAGCCACGATATCGTTACAATGTAATCATCCGCCAGAATCGACCTGGCGAACCACGCGGAGTGCGGCCGCTCTTCGGCCGCGGCGTGGAGAATGTGTCCTACAAGCACAACGGACAAAGACCATTGGGCAGAGAAGTTCCAATGTCTATGTGTTACTTGCAGCACCCACCCACGGTTGGCGCGGTGGGATGCATCTGTCCCACTCACCTTTTATGAATTGCAAGGCCTCACGGACACCGTTGAAGGACCTGAGTCTGATGACAATCTTCTTTAAAGCGCATGTCTTAACCCAGTTCTATCATCAACTGTCAGAGCTGAGGGCCCGTGCTCCTCATTGATCTTCGAGTAATCTGGGAAGCTGGAAAAAGGGGGAGAAGTCACATCCTGAGACAGGTCTTGAAAGCTAGCTTCAGCCAACAAAGTCATCTCAAGCAGCCACCTTAGGTGGCAAGCGACTAACGTGGTCTGGACGCAGCTGGACTCTGTGCGGATCAGAACAGAACTCTTGGCACATCTGCGTGTGCATTGTGAGGAACAAGTCTGCACCTTCTCGGACTGCAAGCATGACGACGCTTGACTCAACCCAACCCTGTCGACACTTGTTTGCCAAGGTTCTGAGGGCTTCATTTGCGACATCAGCCACCCAAACGAGATGCAGCTTGGAGCTAAAGAAACTATCAACTTTGTCGCTTCACAGTGCTTGAATCGTTGGATTGCCATCATGGGGCAGGCCGGAATATCCATTCACGATATTGCTTGCATCTAGCTTCACTGAATGATGATAAGTTAAGCTACTCTTGAGCTCCAGGGCATGTCATACGTGCTTGCGCTGAGTTCCAAATCTTGCTTGGTATGTTCACGTGCGTGCACAAGGCTCGGATGCATGCTCAGCTCTGTGCACCGCACTAACTCTGCACCTAGGCAAGGGACTTTGCCCTCGCTTTCTGATAGATATCTGCAGAAGACAGCTGAAAAGGCTGATGTTAGGATCAAGGCATGCGTTGCAAGATTATAGAATTAGTGTCGCCTCCTACAATCACTTGCATCGAATGCCCAGCTGACATGTGGG